ATTTCACTAAAAAAAGCCAAAATTCGTCAAAAATCGAACTTTTAATTAACTAATTACCACTAATTAAGTTAATTACCCGTCTTTAATGAATAAAAGCCATCCCGAACCCAAATCCACCACCCAAAACCCAAAAAAATCCGCAAAATCCCATTTTCTCCACCAAATTTCACTAAAAAAAGCCGAAATCCATCAAAAAATGAACTTTTACTTAACTAATTACCACTAATTAAGTTAATTACCCGTCTTTAATGAATAAAATCGAACCAGAACCCAAACCCAGGGCCCAGAACCCAAAAAAAGCCCCAAAATCCCGTTTTTTCACCAAATTTCACTAAAAAAAGCCGAAATCCATCAAAAAATGAACTTTTAATTAACTAATTACCACTAATTAAGTTAATTACCCGTCTTTAATGAATAAAAGTCATCCCGAACCCAAATCCACCACCCAAAATCCAAAAAAAAAACCCCAAAACCCCATTTTTTCCCCAAAAAAGCGCCAAATTTCGCCAAAACAAAGAACTTTAATGAGCTAATTAACGCTAATTAGCGCTAATTAACGCTAATTACCGGTCTTTAATGAATAAAACTGATCCCGAACCCGAACCCAGGCCCTAATTTAACCCCCCAAAACCCCGTTTTTCGCCCGAAAAACCCCAAAATTTCGGAATTTCGCCGAAAAAATCGAACTTTTAATTAACTAATTAGCACTAATTAAGCTAATTACCGGGGATTTGTGAATAAAACGCTTCAAGAACCCAAACCCACCACCCAAAACCCAAAAAAAAAAAAAAAAAACCCCCCAAATCCGATTTTTTTTACCCAAATTTCACCAATAAAAACCTCGGAATTTCGCCAACGAAAATTCCTTTAATTAACTAATTACCACTAATTACGTTAATAAGCAAAATGGAACCAGAACCCCAACCCGGGACCAAAAAAAAACCCCCAAAACCTCGTTTTTTCACCAATTTTCACCGGAAAAAAGGCCAAATTTCGGCAAAACGCAGAAGTTTAATGAGGCGGTTAACGCTAATTAGCGCTAATTAAGGCTAATTACCGGGCTGGCGGGAGATGCGGCGCTGCAGGAAGCGCAGGGGCAGGCCCTCGTGCACCACGGTGCAGACGAAGGCGGCCCCGCCCTCCCACTCCTGCCGCGTCACTTCCAGGCGACTGTACAGGAAGTAGGTCCCCTCCCCCCCCTGCTCGCGGCGCGGTTCCCACGGCGTCACTTCCGGGTGGGCGGGCCCGCCGGAAGCGGAAGGGGCGTGGCCGTCGCGGTGCCATTGGATGTCGATGGCTTCCGGGAAGAAGCCGCGGGCCAGGCAGGTGAGGCTGAGGGAGGGGCGGGGACCGGAAATTTCCTCCGGGGGCGGCGGGAGGAGGAAGACGGAAGGGGGGAGGCGCTTTCCTGGGGGGAAAAAGGGGGGTTTTGGGGAAAAAACGGGGATTTTGGG